TTTTGATAACACAGAAACTCACACAGTAGCATTTCTCGGCTCCTCAACTGAACACATTTGGGAGTTTTTTTTTACGGGGTTTATGCAAAGACATCCCAACGGTAAAGTGCAATTTTCCGAAGCTGCCCCTCCATTAAATGTGGTTTATTATTTCTCTCCAGGGACGGATCTTCTGTGAAAATTGCACCCAGATGCAAAAAACTCATCAGCAGATTTAAAAGTCCCGGAGATTAATAGAAGACTTTAACTACTGGCACTAAAACAACATAATTGCTTCTGTGTTATTTCTATGTCCAAAAACAACAATATGTGTGACATGGGGCCAAAGGAACTGCGAGTCAATCTTGTTGTAATGTTTTCTAAGACGTCTTTCTCACAATAATGAAGTTAAAAACCAGTTTCCAACTTGATGGCAGAACTGTTCAAGTTGTTTGTTTAACATTTTCTAGGTCTTTTATGGTGCATTGACAGGAGCTCAGACTGATTGGGGAAGTTAGTGTGGTTAAAGAACTTTTAGTAAGTTAAAAACAGAACTTCCCCACAGAGATGGATTGTTACTCTGACCTGTCGTGCTGTTTGTCAATCTGTTTGGTGCTTGTTGAGATGTTGGCCTTAAATGTGTCTGCCTTATCTCGAATGTGACAGAACTAGAACTAGGCTAATAGAAAAGCTTTGAAACACTCGGCTAAGCTGTAACTTTAGTTCGTTAGTGGTTCGGTGCAGAAACAGTAGGAAAACAAAATGGGTCCGACATGAAACTTCTCTCAACACGGTGTGCGGCAGCGTTTCCGCCAGGGGGGCGTCTTGCCGTCATTTGACAAAAAAAAGAATAATTTGAGAGAAGATCGAGAGTTTTTATCGCTTGAAATGACGAAAAGGAAAAAGGACATCCCTCTGTTGGAGGGGCAAAGGAGTCTGGTGGGATTATTTTCGTCGCCAGCAAAGCGTGTTCCTGTGACGGAAAAAAAAACAAAACCCCGCCGCATCTTCCAAGGACCATGCCAAGAGGGGTGTCCCGGCAGGGCGACGTTAAGAAATAGGATAAGGGACGGCGCAATTCAAAATTGTGTGTGTGCAATGCATACGTTAAGAGATATTATCTATAAGGAACGGCTCAACTCAAAATTGTGTGTGTGTGCATGTCATAGACTGTGTATATAGGTGCATACGTAAAGAGATAGTATCTAAGGGACGGCTCAATTCAAAATTCAAGCCACGTGACACGATGTGACGTCACCCCCCCCGCTCTCGGGGTGGACGCCCTCTCAGCCCTGGTCTGGCGGAAAACACCGGTGTGTGCGGATTCTCTTGAGTGGTGATTTCTGGAAAGACGCATATCTGTTGAGTTTGGCAACTCGACCCAAAACCATCTTGATTGATTAATAACAGTTCAATTTGTACTGTATAACTTTCCCTTTAAATCTGCTGTACTTTTGGGGTTTCTCAGATACTGACCAACAACATTGACATTCATGTTCTTGTCTCAGGAAAAAGCTCCATGTAGATTTATTTTGAAGTATTCAGCATCACTGCAAATAATTCTAGAGTTGGCATGTAAATAACTTGCAAGAAGAAGTAGAACTGAATATATTTGTTGTTATTCAATGTTTTTTTCTTCCATTGCCATATTAGGATGTCAGCTGTTGTCTCAGTGCTTCAGTAGAACTGGTTTGAAGTACTTGGAGGAAGTATTTCCCTGTTCTTCACTAGCTTTGAACAGGCAATGTGATACTCATAACCGGCTAATGGAGTATCCGTCTCCTCCTCCTTCTGTCACTGACTCACTTTAAACCACACTGCACTTGATCTGCTCTTCATGCAGCCTGGATCAGTTCGCTGTCAAATCTCAAATCATTCCTCTCCATTCACTTTGCAGTCTCTCCCTATAGCTGTAGGCGCTATACAGTTTATTCTGCAAGCGAACAACGTTGTTCAGTAGTTAAGCCAATGGAAGAAGTCTTAAATCAATGCCTGGACATCAGTGTTCATTTTGGCAGCTGTTTTTGATTTAGTCTTTAGACGAAAATGGTTATTAGTTTTAGTCACATTTTAGTCATTTCTATCCTTCATAGTTTTAGTCTAGTTTAAGTCGACGAAAACTCAAAACGTTTTAGTCTACTTTTAGTTTAAATGTTTTCTCTCTTCAAACCAATTCATTCAGGCAAATGCAGGTTTCTGACATTGGAATCAATGTGACCGCATCAAGTGTTGAAATTCGTAAAGCCACATTTCACTCTCTTAACACTTTACTTGTGTAATATCTAGGGATGGGTATCGTTAAGGTTTTCTACGGTACTACTAGTCTTATCGATACTGCTTCTCGATCCGGTACTTTAACGGTATTCTTGTATTTACTTTTTGTTATTTTTTAAAGGGAAAAACTAACATTGTTAACCAAATAAATTGCTTTATTTAAATGTGAAATAAATGAAATATATATATAATTATGTTAAAATATTGTACTGTACTTGAGTAAAATGTTGAGGTACTTTACTGGAGTATTTAAATGTGTTGCTATTGTGTACTTCTACTCCACAACATGTATTTAATAGCTTTAGTTTTAGTTAGAAATAATGATATTGCAAGTTAGAAACGTAAGATGCATTTTGACAGACAAGACGGACAATTGGGGGGAAAGACCCTGCATTTTGAATGTCCGATAGTCCACCATTAACACCTTAGTCCCGTCTCGTCAACGCAAACTAAATATACATTTCGTCAAAGTTTCGTTATCAAGAATCTAGTTTTAGCTCGTCATCGTCTCGTCTTAATCATGTAAAAAAGGTTGTTGACGAAAATGTTTCGTCATAGTTGACGAAATGAACCCTGCTGGACATCTCTAGTTTTATCATAGTCCAATATTATCTCTTAGCTGTATAGACAGGTTGATTCAATTCAAAACCTTTATTTATCCAGGTAAAATCCCATTGAGATCAATGATCTCTTTTTCAAGGGAGACCTGCAAAGACCTGATAGAGTTGAAGAGGACCGTTTTTTGGATTGAAAATGGCCATTCAATTGTAATCTTTACCTTAAGTGGTGTTTGAGTTGAAACCTCAGTCGTCAGCGCCAGTTACAGGAAGCAGCCGATTAAAAATAAGTAGAGAAGTTTTAACGTTACATGGACTGATGTTCGCTGATAACTCACTTTGGTTCAAATAAAATAATCCGTAAACAAAGTCTTGTTAGATGCTGTCTGCATATGGAAAGTGTGTTACTCTGCTGTCCGGCGTAATGAGGGAGACGCAATGCAAATGAGTCTTCCCTCAGTCTTCCCTCAGTCTTCCCTCAGGGAGTCACAAACACCATTTTCCACCAGCTGTTGAACAAAGTGAGAGTATGTGACACACACACACACACACACACACCACACACACACACACACCACACACAACATACACACATACACACCACACAGTCAACAGTCACACATACACACACACCCACACACACACACAAACACACACACACAACATACACACATACACACACAGTCACAGTCACACACACACACACACACACCCACACAGTCAACACACACAGTCACACACACACACACACACACACACACACACACACAGACAACAACAGACACATATATATATATATATAGACAGACAGATATCAGCATTGGTTTTTTTGTGAAATTGTAGATAACCAACATCATTTGGTCATGATGTCTGAGACAGATAAACTTTGATCTCAACATTACACACAGACACACACACACACACACACACACACACACACACACACACACACACGTTCCTCCCCGAGTGGCTTCCCTTCTCTCAGCATCGCTCATTAGCAGGAATCAATCTGCAGCTCTGCACGAGTGCCAGAGCACTTGTATACACACACTGCTAATAAGGGCCTGGGGGACAAACAAACACACACACTCTGTCACACACTCTGTCACACACACACACACACACACACACACACACACACACACTCTCTGATGCACCACGGTACCCTCTCAGAGATAGAGAGGGGATATAGAGGTGGGGCGAGAGAGAGAATGTGCACTAGAGTCCTCAGCACATTTTGATCTCCTTATATGGTCGTGAAGCATGGGGGGAGGGAGGGGCCGCGGCCGTCTCGCTGTCAGTTTGACATGTGACCTAGAAACAGGAAGTGTTGTGGCGCAGCAGCAGAAGAGAAGTGAGGAAGAGGGGAATGACAGCGTTTAGTGAGTGATAATACACCGCCTCACTCCACCCTCTAGATAGTGACACGGTAACGCTACACCCTCTGTTGGCCGAGGTGCGCACCTATTCAGAGTTCACTTGGTGAATGATACGAATAGCTTTACTTGAGGTGAACTTCTGCAAACTTGAGAAGGAGTCAGAACTATTGCTGCACAATATGGAACTAATCACTAACCGCAATATTTCACTGATTCTTATTCTTATTATCTTGAATCTTCTATTGTTCATAGTGTTTATATACACATATATACTGTCCATAGTGTATGTACTTTCACTTGTCTTCTTTATATAATACTTTAAATGATAACACTGCACTTTACTGCTTAGTTGCACTTCTGGTTAGATGTTTTCTTCGTCTCAGTACTTCTCTAATCCAGTCTAATCATGAAAGATGTATTTCAAATGACCACAGTGTGTTTTTAAGATAATCCGTACCAAACAAAGGGTTATTATCGAGTTAGTAGAATATATTTGTAGGGCCGCGACATCCACAATACTTGATTCAGAATAATATTCACTTATTTAGCTAAATGACTTATTGTGCCACCTGTTTTTAAATGTGCACTCGCCCAAATTGCTGTTGCTCATGATTTAAAAACATGTTTCTCGCTGGGAGTGGTGGGAATTGTAAAAAGAAATATCCTAATAATCAAACGGGTTTTAATGCAATATAATGTCTGAGATCTTGGACTGTGTCAAACATTGATTCATCATGTTGATATTTGGTGAGGATTAGTTTAGTGTTCGACTATCAGTCTTAACCTGTACCTCTTTTTGTTTTCTCTGCAGGTACGCATAGCAGCTAACTTCGTCATCCACGCCCCGCCAGGAGAGTTCAACGAAGTTTTCAATGGTGAGTACTCCGTTTATTCTTCTTTTTGAAGAGTGTAAAGTGCGATGTTATTGACGTAGACCTGGGAAACCTTCATCCCTCCTCCTCTTCCTCACCTCACATATCTCTTCATCTTCTAAATACAGGCTAAAATGACCCATTATATACACGGAAAACACCGGCTCTGTCTACAATGTATGACTTTGTAAAGACATACAAAGGCATAGAATATAAAATGCACATATATTCTTTACTTTAACAAAGCAGCATGCATGGATTTTATTTAAGTGGCTTTAAGGAACATTTTCTATCATAAAATTGCCTGTTAATTTACATTTATTGTAGTAAAACTAGCCATATTTCCCCAATGCTTGCTCCTAAATAGTTTTCTCCAGAAGCTGAAACGGATAATCTTCTCTGTTCACATGCGGTGCCCTCTGGGAACACCTAGAGCAAATAGAGACGATGGTGTCTGGGCCAAATAGTTTCTCGCCCTGCAGCTCTGTGTTGACACCCCTCCCTCACGGTGCCGCCCCTCCAGAGTGTGTGTTTGGCGTTATTAAATCTTCGTCCGGCTGCGATAAATGTCGTCACCTCAGAGGAGCGCCAACGGGCTCTCTGTCTGCCTCTTATCACAGCCTGACACACACACACACACACACACACACACACACACACACACACACACACACACTTACACTTTGAATTACAGTCCCCTCGTGCCACTTTGTCCTCTTTCATCTCTGTTTGATGTTACAACCTTTTCCACCGAGCTAATTCACTGTGTGGTGTGTGTGTGTGTGTGTGTGTGTGTGTGTGTGTGTGTGTGTGTGTGTGTGTGTGTGTGTGGTGTGTTGTGTGTGTGGTGTGTGTGTGTGTGTGTGTGTGTGTGTGTGTGTGTGTGTGTGTGTGTGTGTGTGTGTGTGTGTGTGTGTGTGTGTGTGTGTGTGTGTGTGTGTGTGTGTGTGTGTGTGTGTGTGTGTGTGTGTGTGTGTGTGTGTGTGTGTGTGTGTGTGTGTGTGTGTGTGTGCTGTGTGTGTGTGTGTGTGTGTGGTGTGTGTGTGTGTGTGTGTGTGTGTGCTCTCCTCAGATGTGCGATTGCTGCTCAACAATGACAATCTTCTCAGGGAGGGTGCAGCGCAGTAAGTCTCTCCCGTTGCTCGTCATCCAGGTCTTTTTCCAGAATCTGCAAAAAGTCTGAATGAAAATGTCACAATTCAACAAGCTCATTGAAAATGTTGTTTTTATTTAGTTTTTACAATAACTATATGGCAACACCTGCTCCCATTACGCATGTCATCGCCTCCGCCTCCCCCTTTCAACACTGTCACTCTGATAAAAATCTGTTCCAAAAATAGATAAATAAATGGTATCTCCAAATATAGATGCTTGTTAGTTGGACAAAATCGTTGTGGCAGCTTTGGTTACCATTTATAATCTAAAAAAATGTAATGACTTTTACAAAACATGTAGGGCTTACTTATGCACTTTCAAATGACCTGCCTTATCTACGCATATAGTGCTCAACATAATGATCACACGAGGTGAGTCAGAAATGGCCTAAAACATTTCTAGAGGACTTCGATTTTCCTTCTCGCCTTAGTAAAGGAAAATAAAACCGTTCACTGGTAGGAACCTGAGCACACAGGAACACAAATATATAGGCAACTTAGTTTTTTACACAACAGGGTATAGTAAAATGATTTAAAACAAATTAGGCTACCTTTTTAAATGAACAGCTCTCCTCACTTTGTGGTACTTTTCAAACCGTCCATGTTATTACTTAGTTATTGACCAGAAGTAAACGAGACAGTCTGCGCTATGTTCAACATAAATGTATGGTTTGTGTGGACAGCCCTTTAGTCCACATCCATATTGCTCAAACACTGTCAGCTAACATATCTTAAATAGACCAACATCTTTAAATCTTAAGAAAATTAGCAGCCTAGAGTTGTAGGTATCTTTGAATAAAGTGCCTAGCTAAGGGTGTTTAAAGTAACACTTTATTTCCCTCTCTCTGCAGTGCGTTTGCACAGTACAACTTGGACCAGTTCACCCCGGTGAAGGTCGAGGGATACGAAGAACAGGTGAGATTATTCTTCAGCTCCGACCCGCTCTCTGCACACCGCTCTGAAAACATGGGGATCAGTTCAGGAGAATCTGTGGCTCTGGAAGAAAAAGATATTGTGACAAGGACATAAAAGTGAAATGCCGAGTCGAATATATATATATATATATATATATATAAGAACATAACAAATCGGAAGAAAATGAAAAAACAGGACTTTCTTTGTTCACTATAATAAATATAAATATTGATCATGCCTGCTGTATAAACCAACGTGCGTGGTTAACAAAATGAAGAGTAGTTACTGAAATAATTAACAACTCCAAACGTTTAAAGGTCACCTATCGTGCTATTGTTAGGCAATAGCATAGGTCTCAGATATATAAACATATATAAAAAAACATTGTTTATGAAGTGGTTTTGCTCAAAATACCAAACAGATCACCCATTCTAGCCATGCCTCATATCCCTCTATTTCACTTCCTGTTTCAAAAGTTCTGATTTGGGTATAAAGCTTTAAAAAAATGTATTAAAATTAAAAAGGAGGGGTCTGAGCTCATGCGGGACCCGGCAGCTACTGTCTAAACTAAATACTGCCGTGATTGAAACGCCATATCATGGATTATCAAGGATTCTCTCTGAAACAGTCTGGAGCTCAAAGGCTTTCTCTCTTGCCGGTTTACACCACAAGGTGAGTTCCTTTTTACTTCCTGCTCTTCACACACATGGAGTGTTTCTCAATCGCGAGTAAAGCTTGCTCCAGAGCCATTATTTCAAGCATACTACGTCATCGAGTGCCGCCGAAGTACTGTTCCAATGTCCAGCATACTTGGAATTCTACCGAGCCCGGCGTACTTCGTTTGGAGACATTTCGAGGCTGCACATGTGTAGACTCTGCGGTCCTTAAAATCCCCCACAATGCTTTGCGCACGGACCAATTTCCCCAAATCTGTGGCGGAAAATGTAAGACGGGGCTTCTCATATGAAGCACACCTGCACACTTGCTAGCCTGTTCCACTCTTTGGTTTCCGAATGCCAGGGAAGTATTCTTGACGCTCGGAAGACATGTGCTACCAAGCAAGCGTACTCGAGATTGAGAAACACCCATGCTCTCCAGTACAGGTTAGCTCTGAGTGTTAGCGATGCTAATGTAAACACCGACCATATTACGTCCAAAATAGTCGGGCATTGTTTCTGATAGCAACGTTTCTGATTGGGCCGTGGGTCCACATTTCAGATATTACGTCATATCGGACGCAAATCTGAATCAGCTCCGTTGTTCCCCGTTTTTAGAGATTTGGGTACGGAGGAAAAGAGAGAGGGTTTTATTTCTGACGCTGCGTGAGTTCCCGACACACCGGGGACACATCTTTATGTATAAGAGACATCAACAAGTGCATTTTGCATGATAGGTCCCCTGTGCTCATGCACATCAGAGGAAAGTGTGACTCGATGTTAAGTCACATGTGTTCTTGTACAAAAAGGAGCTCAGTGTTTCTTTATATTTATTTGAAACAATCCTGTAATAGAAGTGGTGTAAAAAATCATTATTATTAGACCATTGCATCTTTAATTCTACAGAAGATTTTCAGCTCTAATTATTATAATTCCACTAATGTTATTCTCTCTGGGGGCTTTAACTCAGAGCAGGGAGGATTAAAGGATCCACAGAGGTCTCTCTCACGTCTCCATTCACACGTCAGCCTCCTCTCTGTGTCGGGAAGTCTGAGCTTCAGTAATGATTGCAGCGTCTGATGCAAAGGTTTCATCATGTCCCTTTTGTTCCGGGTTAAATTCCCCCGTCTGTTACCCAGCAGGCCGCGCTGCGAGCTGAGGAGGATGACGGGCGACTTTTTTGTTTTTCTCTCGTTGCAATGCGTTAATTAATCTCCTGATTATTCTCCCTTTCCACAAAATGTCCTGCCTTCTGACGTCTCGTTGTTTCCGTCTTTTCCTCATCCCTTGTTTCTGTTGTTTCTTTCTTAGTTTGTTAATTTCATTCTCACTTTCTCTCTATCTCTATTTCTGTCTCTGTTTTTTTTCTCTATCTTCCGTTCTTCCTTTGTTTATTTCTATCGCTTTTTCAAATAATTTTTCTTTCTCGTTTTAATGTATTATTCGAGTTAATTCGATGCGTGTGTTCTTGAAGGCAGCTTTAGGAACTGGGTGATCTTTTGCATGGTTTTAATCCCAGGGAACAAAGGAGCCATTGTTTTTGATACTGCTTGATATATATCCTTCATTTAACCAGGTAAAAAGTCTCATTCAGATTAAAATCTCTTTGTCAAGAGCGACCTGGCCAAGCACGGACAACGTTACAACAAATAAACACAAACAATACAGGCAGACGAATAAAGCTGTCGTAAAACTCAACAGAAATGGCACATTATCCAGTCAATGTGCAAATAAAATAAACTCTTATAAAGCATAAAAATGGCACAATTTCTATCGTTGTGAAACCACGTTTTTTATACTGTTGATCGTTGAAACCTAAGGACAAAAGATTGCACAAACTATATTCCTGCCTGGACAACTGAAACATCTTAAATCTGCTTTGTGGTGGTCGGATTTTATTTTAATTTTCATTAGTTTTTAGCACAAACAGCCACTCCACACTCGCTCTGCTTATTGTCCTCCTCCTCCTCGTCTCCTCCCTCCTCCCAGGTCTTAATCACAGAGCATGGAGACCTGGGGAACGGCCGGGTCCTGGACCCCAAGAGCAAGATGTCCTTCAAGTTCGACCACCTGAGGAAGGAGGCGAGCGACCCCGCGGCCCCCAGGACGTGGACGGGTCCCTGGAGGGCTGGAGGGGCGCCGTGGACTCAGCCGTCAGGGCCTACGTCAAGGAGCACTACCCCACGGAGTCTGCACCGTACGTAGAGGCAAAATATACCTTTACTGTATTAGTTAACAATGAACATCTGGATTTATTCAAGAATCACGGCAAAAAGAATCCCATTTTGAGACAGCAGGATGTTTAGCAAGATGCTTTTCATGCCAGGCCCCTTGTTCTTCTAGGCTCCACACTGAAGATACTACAGTCCCTCAGTTGCACGCTAGCATGAGCTTCATTTCGTAGCTGTAAACAAAAACGACTGTTTCATTTAGAAAGAATAACCTTTTGCATTTAAAATCAGACAATAAGTATTTTCTACCTCCTTCAGATTTACGGGAAAACCATCGACGGACATCAAACCATCATCGTGTGCATCGAGTGCCATCAGTTTCAACCAAAAAACTTCTGGTATGTTTACTGGACTGTAACTGAATATGTCATTTTTTTATTTTTGATTATTAGTTTATTTTTAGTAAAGATGACAGACTTGTTTATCATAGATCTTTTAATTTTTCAGAAGGACCAAAAGTGCTGGTGCCCCAACAATGTTTTTAAATGAAAGTTTAAAAACACCTTGAAATACTAGATAAGCTCAAAAAGCCCTACATGTATTTTTGATAAGTACCAGTTATCTTAAAGGCTTTGATTGAATTGCCACTTACCTCCTGAGCGTGTGACTGTTGGGCCTCTGAGCGCCGCTGAGCTGATTCTGATCGGGTTAATCTGATTGGATAAGAGCTGCACCAATCCTCTTTGCTTGCTGGACTTTACGGGGCTTATGGGTAGTTTTCTGTGATGATCCCACAGCTCCTGTATGTACCGCCTTGTTTCTGTAATGAGGAACCTGGGGGGAAGATTTAGGATCAGATAAGGAAAATGAAACGGAGATTGACACCATTGTTACATTTTGATTTAAGATTTATAATGTGCGCACAAAAAAACAAGAATTAACAGCTGACTTTGATTCAACAATTGTATGTGATTTAGTTTTAGTGTCATAAAATAACAACAATGAACACCTTGTGGCTTCCTCCTCTCTGCACAGGAATGGACGCTGGAGGTCAGAATGGAAGTTCACCGTCTCCCCCTCCTCCACCCAAGTGGCAGGCATCATGAAAATCCAGGTACTTTTTTTAAATCATACACTCAGTGAAGAGGCGCAAAGGCTTGTTTTGGTGTGTGTCATTCGTACACAAATTCAGTATAACGTTGAGTTGGTGTTTTTCTAGTCAGAACACAACTAGACAAAAAAGCTTGTTCTGTTTCGTCCCTTTTGGATCATTTCTGTCTCACTTCTTCACTCCCTTCACCAGAGTGTGTTTGTCATGTTTAGGAGTGTTTTTATAGATCCATTGAGATGTCTTTGTGTCACCCACACAGCTTGTATTTCTCCCACTTCATGTTTTATTGTTCTGAGTTACAGGACTTTATGAACACAATAAAGAGAGACTAAACCTGTTCCTTTAGGTTCATTACTATGAAGACGGCAACGTGCAGCTGGTGAGCCACAAGGAGGTCCAGGAGTCCATGTCCATTTCTGTGAGTGGAAACAAACACATTTGAGGAAAATGAACAATATGATGTCAAATCAAATCAGCCAATTACATTCAAGCAATTCAAATCACATGATATATCAGTGTTAACGTCTCATACATTAAACCTATCATTCTCTCTGTCAGTTTTCTCTATTAAAGTTGATTTAACGTCTAAAATTGCTGCTATGTTCGGCTAAAAATCGCCAGGGATGTAACTTTTCCTAATTGTTTACAGTGTGAAAGTGTTAGGTTGTGTATTTCCTAAGGTTTGAACATGTGCATAAAAACGACCCAGTCTTTTTCACCTGTAATTAATCACGTGTGTCTTTTCCTCTCTTAGAATGAGGCGTCAACTGCGAAGGAGTTTGTGAAGATCATGGAGGCTGCAGAGAACGATTACCAGGTATGAAATGATGGGAAACTGTTACTTGATACTTGCATATAGACTCTTATTGCACTATTTCACTTTTTTAAACTATTTTCATTTTTGTATTTACTATTTACTTGCACTATATTTTTCTGTGTTATTGTGTTGCACTGTTGAAGAAGCCTGTGACCTAAGATTTTCATCGGCATAACTACACTGTAGCTATGTTGGTATGACAACATAAAGAACCTTGAACCTTGAAATATGCAGATTTTAAACTGGTTGTTGCAGAGAAAACAGTTGGGTTGCTGGGGGTGCTATTCCACCAGACACGCCGCGTTACGGCTAGAAGCGTCCCGGCGCTGGGCTCCGCTAAATATAGGATACAAGTCTATTTTCGACGCGAGGCGTTGCATAGCACCGGGCAGGAAGTGGACCGGTCAGAGCATCCAGTCAATCCCCAAAATAAACTCATTTTGCAGACCCTATCCCTCCGTAGTCTTTCAAGTAGGAGGAGAAATGCCAGCGTTCTCCTCCGGTTTACAGGTGTTGGGGATTTATTTTGTCTTTACTCCTAGACATTTAACCTATTCTGTGTGTTGACATTTACGACCATCCCTGCTTCTAATCTCCCGTAAGGAATGTGTTAATGCAGTCGTATGTTGATACTAGGTTTTATGGCCTGACCTGGTGGGCACAGGGGGGGGGGGTTACGACTGTGAGAACGCTAGCTTCTAAGCTCCACAGATGTGAGAGACATCTGTGTCTGCAGAGGTGTTTACGCCCATCCCCAATATGTGGATTTAACTCTCTGTAAACTAGTTAAAAGGTCTACCAAGATGCGAGGCTGATCAGATTTGACATGGCAACCCACCCGTGCAGTCAGAACCTTTGACTGTGTGACTTGTGATGTGAATTTCTCCGGCCGATGCTTGTATTAAATCTCAGTGTTTGACATCAGAACTCCTGCTCGTCCCGTGTCTCCTTCATGAGTCGGTGCTACACAGAAGTTTCCTCCACAACAGGCACTGTGTAAATTATATATAGAATAATTATGATGATGAATGCATTTTTTTACCACTAAAATACATCAACACATCTTTGATTCATGTCGTTTACAACTGGAGTATTACAACTATTATTAACTTCGTCTGTACAAAGTAGCCTGTCCAGGGAAATATGCCCAAATCAACTAAATCTGCGAGCCGGCACACAAGACGCTCCGCTTCCGAAACGCTCCCGGTGGGTTATGACGCCGGAGGAGGTCGGACCAAAACCGCGGCGCAGACGGACCCGGTGGAATCCCGGGGTTACAGATTTATTGATTCAAAGCGTTGGCGTGAGTTGCAATCGACTCAAAAAGAGACATGGATATCACTTTCTTGTCAGGATGAAATGATGAAATCCTTCACTCTCACACTGCAAACCTCGAACACAGGACTTTCATCATGAAGTCAGATTTGAGGCTCAAACGAGGAGATATTTGAACGTTGTATTTTTCAAGAGGAAAGTGCACTTTCATGGCCATCCATTTCATGTTTAAGGCTTTTGACTTTTCAGTATTTGAAGAAAACAAACCAGTCTATTTCCCCTTCTCTGAGATTAAAATCTGAATCGTGAGATTAAAGTCAGAAAATATTCAAAAATGTTTTAAAAAATCTTTCATTTCAGAATTATCGATTTTTCTCAGAATTTTTATTTTTTTTATTTTACTTTTCATTTTAGTGCTTACAATCCAAACAAAGTGAAATATTTGAATATAATAAATATAAATAACTGAATTCTATCATCTTCCCTTCATTTAAAGGAGAGTCGGTCTTGAAGCACACTTTGGGAACAGAAAGGACATTTAATTGTACATATATTCTTGTAATGTCACACAGGTTTACTAATTTGTATTATTTATTCATAATAATTCTTAAAAATACCTAGATAATAAGAATTGTGGGGAAACAAAGACTATCTCTGGTTTTAAGTTTTTCCGTCAGATCTAAAAAATAAATTCACATGGGTCCCTGATCCTCTTCTGTCCGTAGGAATGGGTTGATGTATTTGGTTTCTGAAGCACGTTGAGTCACCTTTTGTGGATGATAAGTGCTATATAAATAAAGTTTGATTTGAATCCTCTACCCTTCCTCCTTGTGTTCCTCCTCCTCCTCGCAGACGGCCATCAACGAGAACTACCAGACCATGTCGGACACTACCTTCAAAGCCTTACGCCGCCAGCTTCCTGTGACGCGCACCAAGATCGACTGGAACAAGATCCTGAGCTACAAGATCGGCAAAGAAATGCAGAACGCTTAAAAACACCCCGCAGAGAACATAACAGCCCCCTCCCCTCGCCCCCCTACCTCCACTTCCACCCCAAACAACGTTGCATGACTGGATAGATGTATCGTCTTTGTACAGAAAATTAGAGAAACTGGGACAAAGAGAGGTTTCTGGGTGCCGCAGCCCGACGTCACGTTACACATTGGATGTTATTGTTTTTTATATACAGACACATCTGTATAATGGTGAAGGAGATATCACAAGACATAGGAAAACGGGGGCACTTGTATGCAAAAAAGATCCTTATAAAATATCACGTGTGCAATATTTGTTGTGTCAGTGAGACCTTTTTTTTTTTTTTTTTTTGACCTGCGGAGAAAACGAGAATTGTTTTTGCATTTTACAAAAGAAATGAGATATTTGGCTGTAAACAAAGACTCCCTTCACTTCACGGTGTCGATAAACAAAAAGTGTGTTATTGAATGGTATCTTTGGCACAAGCAGTCACAAAATCAACGTTTTGTCCCTTAATGGTGGTACTTCCCCCTCACAGTTTGTCCTAGAATCCAGACTGAAGCGCTCCTGGCTCAAATTTGCCTTTTTTTTTTTTGGTCAGAGTTCAGTGACCACTTAACAAGCTTAATTAACACCAGTCGCTAAGTGATGTGCATAATGTCCAATTTACAATAAAATCAGAACGCATCACATTCTCCTCCAGTGCTTATTTTTATTAAAAAAGAAAACAGAACCTGACTGTATTATATAACAAGGCACATTGTAATATATACCTGTATGAAACATCCTGTCTGTCAGTTTGGTGATTTATTTCCATGAGATCAATTGTAATTCAGTCACAATTATGTTGCATTAAATGACACATTTTCTATCTGCTGACTCTCATGATTTTCTCGTACCCTTCATTGTGATAAAAAGTAATAAACTCAAGTGTAATACGAGGAAATTCATTTAATTTAGGGTTATTTCACTGCACTTTGTCCTAAAAGTGGCATGAACCGGTGTTATTACGTGTTATTAAGTTATGACTGCACAGATGTGTCTTTAGTGCCCTGTACCATCCTATTTAAGTTAAATAAGTGAATATATATTTTTAAATATTCACTTGATGGATGAGAGTCATGGAGCTCTTGAAGTACAGTTTCCGAAATAAAAGGACTTTATTTTACACTTTTACAATGATTTATAATGACTTATTATTTACTCATTTGTAATTCCACGTGTCAGGACTGTTCATAATTAGCAAGAAGAACAGTTAATAACTGGATGAGATGTTGTAGGAAACAAAGACTTCCTCTGTGTGGTTTCATGTATTTTATTAACTGATTAATTATGGGGTCAAATGACGATGAGAACACTGCTGATAAAGGATGGTGTTGATGCCTTTTCTTCAAGATATTAACGTCTTAAAGGGCCCATGTCATGCTTCTCTGGTTATCACACGTCCCCTTGTTGTTATGAAGGTTTTTCTGCATGTAAACGGTCTGCAGAGTCACAAACCCTCAAAGTACACCCTGTAGCGAGTAAAACTCTAACACAGAGAAGACCTGTCTGTGCTGCCCCAGAACGCCTCGTTGGAGATTTCTCTTTTTCTTCCTGGGTACAGTGACGTGACCATACCCAAATGGACCAATCCGTGGAGCTCCTCACACACACACAGGCCGTTTCTCAATCACGAGGATGCTTGCTTGGTAGCACATGTCTTCCGAGTCACTTCCTTCAGAAGCTAGGCAAGAATCCTTCCTGGCATTCGGAAAACGAAGAGTGGAACAGGCTAGCAAGTGTGCAGGTGTGCGTCATGACTCATATGAGAGTGGAAACTAGGGGTGTAGCCTGTAGGTGCGCCGCGTTTTGGGGGCTAGTGGAGCCTAGCAGATGGGGGTGTTCAGCACCCCCCGCTTCCCGCGTCCATTCGCGATGTCTCGCAGACCCCACCCAGCAAGCAGGACATGAACACAGCTCACACCCACACCGTCCGCTCCTTGCAGCAGCGAGCCCCGCAACGTCCCGCCAACACGGCACCCAGACTCCACGCAGCATTCTCATCTGTTAGTCAGTACTGGTGTCATTTCCTGGTTGCTAACAAACGCCATTGTAACACATAATCACTGATGTTCCGCTGTGACGGTGGTGGACTCATCAGAACAGAGTGGGCGAGCTGACCAATCAGAGCACAGTGAGCTCACAGGGAGGAGGGGGGGGGGGGCAGGAGCTCCAACAAGCCGTTTAGGACAGAGAGTGAATACACAGACTATACAGAGATGCTGTTTGAGAAACCAATGTGAGTTTGGAACATTGAGCAATATAAATCTATTCTAGTAGACCTCAACAATGGAATTATGATCAGTAGAAATGGCTATGTCGGGACCTTTAAAGTCACCACTTTGAACACAAATGTATGTATTCAAGTTAGTATGAAAATGTACACACTTTTTTTTATTGAGGAGACATGTGATGATTATGGCAGAGAAAGAACCAGACAGAAATAAGTTTAACTTCAATTGTACAGTAATAATAAGCTACTCTTGTTCTTGTTATAAAAAGAGTGACTTCACATTGGCTTTCATTAATTTTCTAGTTTGAAACTCTTCATTATTGTTCATCATGGTACAACAAAGGGATCCTGTTTTGAATTATTGTTCATCATGGTACAACAAAGGGATCCTGTTTTGAGGTTTATATTAAATCAGTGTTTCCATGTGTGACTCACCTCTTTGAGGGAAATATGTTAAGCTACATGTGACGCTACATTTAGAAAATACATTTTAGAAGCATAGTCCTGTAGACATAAATACATTTGACAATATAATTAAAATGTTTTTGATATTTGCCTGATGTGCAGAAGAATAACGCATGCGCAGAAGGACGAAGTTTGGACCATTACAGTTGACCACCTGCTAACGCTCCTCTCATTGTGCAATAGCATTAACGGTTTATGTATGCCTTTTCCCATTTATTATACAGCTCCAACATATGATTGTAAATGATATGATCAGTTCTGAGTTGCTCCAGGTTAGATTCGCCGAAAGACGATACAGGTAAATCAGCGACAGCGATGTCTAGAGGCGAGGGGAGGTAACTGTCCAGGTTAGCGAGCCGGTGGCTAGCTGTGAGCTAACGCTAGCCAGACACGTCTACAGCACTCAGTCTGCTGTTGCTGCTGCTGCTGGAAGTACACACATGTTGGACTGCTGCCGGAAGAAATGCCCGCGACCAAGAAGGATTTAACACACTTCCCACACATCGAGGTAAGCTCACACACACACGTGTAGTGTTAACGAGTCACAGTGTGTCCACGTTTATATAAAAAAAGTTAGTTTTACAAAGCTAAACTAGCAGTTAGCTAGCAGAGGCTAACATGCAGCTAAGTTTAAATGGGAATCCTCATGCATGGAAAACAATCACAATTCATAATTCCTTTATTCGTGCTACAAAGAGGGCATTTACGTTGTTACAGCAAAGTATAGATAGAGACGAAGAAAATAGGCATGCACATAGTATTTATATTTGTTACAATTTCCAGAAGTACACATTCAGGTAGATGGTAAGTAGCAGCAGTATTTATCAAATACATAAAACGTGTAGCATTGTAGATGTGGTTTATAACATTATTATTATTTCTTATTGCACATAGTTACTTAGGTTCCTGTTGCAGTAATGGGTGGATTAACTATGAGTAGCAGCCAGTAGTAATAATAATATATGCAGAACGTAAGTGCTGTACAATGTAACAGTGGTGTCATAGTCTTTGAACACATGGACACACACGCTAATTGACTAGTTCTAACTACATAATGGGGCATCAATCATTCCGAGCATGTCATTAGTTGTCCTGGCAATGCGCCATAGCTGAAGAGAGCAGAGTGTATTGTTGTTTATGGTCTCCATCATGAGTCAATATCTCTTATCTGGCTCTGCAGAGTTTACAGTGTCAGCCGGTGGTGTTGTGCTTCATGCTGTCTGTCTGCAGGGGAAGCCATCCGCATGCACAGCAGACTTTAAACAAGACATGGACTCCGATCCAGAGGAGGTAGAAGTACTCAGATGTTCTACTTCAAGTACAAGATCTGAGTACTTCTACTTTTACTCAAGTCTTGAGTAAAAGTAGAAGGACTCAGCTCTTGTACTTGAGTAAAAGTAGAAGTACTCAGATCTTGTACTTGAGTAAAAGTAGAAGTACTCAGATCTTGTACTTGAGTAAAAGTAGAAAGTACTCAGATATTGTACTTGAGTAAAAGTAGAAGTACTCAGATATTGTACTTGAGTAAAAGTAGAAGGACTCAGATCTTGTACTTGAGTAAAAGTAGAAGTACCAGAGTGTAGGAATACTCTGTTACAGTAAAAGTACTGCATTCAAAATGTTCCTCAAGTAAAAGTAGAAAAGTATTCTCATCAAAATATAGTGAAAGTAGCGACAGTAAAAGTAGTCGTTGTGCAGTATGGTCCGTTCAGAATAATATATATGATATGTTTATAATGATTGATCATGAAAGTGTTCTCAAAGCTGGTGAAGGTGCAGCTAGTCTGAATGACTTTGTATACTGCAGGGTAGCTGGTGGATTTACTCCAGGTGGAACTAAAGTCTGATTCAACACTTGATTAGATTTCACATCATTCATCCAGATATGTAAAGAAACTAAAGGTATTATGTAGTGAAGTAAAAGTACATGATTTACCTCTGAACTGTGGTTGGGAATAGTACAAAGTAGCAGAAAATAAAGTGATGTACTTATGTTAAGTCCTTCACAATTGTACTTAAGTACAGTACTTAAGTAAATGCTGAGATCCCAAGTTACCCACTGCTTGTTGGCCTGGTGGACCTCATGTTTACCTCCGCTGGGACTCACTGTGGCTCAGTGGTGCAGTTGGCATTACGCTCTCTCGCAGCAGCGGTGAGCCTCTTGTGACTGTGCTGAGCAGCAGATGGAAGAATGTGCTCTTTGAGAAAGCCAGCTGGGTCTGAGCAGAGAAGGCAGGAGAGTATTCAGGCTCTGGTGGAGGAGGGTAGTGTGTGTACGAGCTGGCTCTGAGCAGAGAAGGCAGGAGAGTATTCAGGCTCTGGTGGAGGAGGGTAGTGTGTGTACTACGAGCTGGCTCTGAGACAGAGAAGGCAGGAGAGTATTCAGGCTCTGTGGAGGAGGGTAGTGTGTGTCCGAGCTGGGTCTGAGCAGAGAAGGCAGGAGAGTATTCAGGCTCTGGTGGAGGAGGGTAGTGTGTGTCCGAGCTGGCTCTGAGCAGAGAAGGCAGGAGAGTATTCAGGCTCTGGTGGAGGAGGGTAGTAGTGTGGTCCGAGCTGGGTCTGAGCAGAGAAGGCAGGAGAGTATTCAGGCTCTGGTGGAGGAGGGTAGTGTGTGTACGAGCTGGGTCTGAGCAGAGAAGGTAGGAGAGTATTCAGGCTCTGGTGGAGGAGGGTAGTGTGTGTACTACGAGCTGGCTCTGAGCAGAGAAGGCAGGAGAGTATTCAGGCTCTGGTGGAGGAGGGTAGTGTGTGTACGAGCTGGGTCTGAGCAGAGAAGGCAGGAGAGTATTCAGGCTCTGGTGGAGGAGGGTAGTGTGTGTCCGAGCTGGCTCTGAGCAGTCGTAACCAAAAGCATGGATGGTAATGGAGGTTTATGTGACAGATTTAATGTGTGCTTCTGATTCTCACTGTGTCACTATGTGTATGTATGTAGTACTGCAGCCGTCCAAATTGTCTGACTAAGTCCTTCTAGTCTGACTAAGTCCTTCTACATACCTCTGGATTAGTCTATATAATAATTGTTTCCCCCCCCTGCATAACTGGGATTTTAAACCTCTCAAATATCGAACCTTCTTTGTTTTGATATCCTAATTAACAGACATAAATAATCTTAAATAAATAAATACACTTCCCAGTTTGGCATCAATTAATAAATCGAGTCTAGTCTAAAACCTTCGTGTTTTTCATAATATTCTAACATATTGTAAAATACAAATTTGTACATGTTTAAATATTATATATTGTACAATGTGCATATTCCTACTTTGTTTAGAAATAAAACATTTTATCCAACCTTTTATTATTCCTATTTTTATAGAAATATTATCTTTTATCACCTCTTTTTTCAATTTCTTTCAAATAGTTCTAAATAACAATGATTTCTTGGTCACCTAATGGCGTCCGTTGTAGCAGCACACTTGATGAATAATGACGTATTTAAGCAGGTGGACATGTCTCTTGCTGGGTTAGAGCTGCTGAGTCAAAATGTAAATCTCTGTCAACTCAACAGCACATTTCCATAATTAAATGAGCCCTGCTGTTCTTCTGACATGCCGTGAAATGAGTATGCAGATGACGATAGATGAAAACACATTATTAGATCTGCTGCGATGTTTCCATGCGGCCGCGTCATTAAACACCGTGGAGTGTTTGACCTTGGTTATGTTTAGATGGAGCATTTGCTTCCCTAACATGCAGGTAACCGCTCTCCGCTCTCACATTACATTTGGATATTAGATGAAATTTAAAAGATAATATTCAACTGAGTATTACTTTCACTACATACTTCTGCTTCCTCTTCATACACCACCATATACAACCGTTTTTATTTCCTAGTTCCCTTTATACCACGATGATTGTTTAACTGTGGCATTCCCCCGTCAAGACGGTTTATCACCCACTTTCCATCAACGTGGTTTTTTCTTATTTTCATTTGGTAAATGTTTTTTTTCTATTTCTCAGAACGACTATTGGCATCCCACAGACTGTGTACACTAGTTGGAAGTAACTTTAATAACAGTATGATAGACACAGATTTACCTTGGGGATAAAAACGACTTTACCTACAACCAACTAGTTATCTTCTTCGTGTTGTTTGAATATCGACATTTGTCATCGTTACGTGTCTTTTTAATTGATACCTTCCTCTCTGGTTGTTGACGAGGTTAAATCCTTAGTATGAGCTCCACTGAGGGGCTGAGTGCCAAACTTGACATTTTTTGATTGATATTTTTGACAAACAATCCATTTCACTAATTGGGATCAATAAAGTAGATCTAATCTGATCAAACAAAATACATGATTATTTCATCAGCTATTTACTGTTAACAGACTGGGGATGGGTATCGTTAAGGTTTTAACGGTACTACTACTTTATCGATCCGGTCCTTTAACGGTACTCTTATCGGTTCTTTTGAGAAAAAAAAGGTAAATTAACTAAACTAATTATAAATAATATGAACTTACAGAACTAAGTATTTACTGCAAAAATCCAGTGGTACAGAGCAACACAGGTGGGGGCCTTCTGGAGGAAGATTGAGGCATACTTAAAGGCCCGGACGCCCCAAGCTGACACCAAAGAACTGACACAGACGGACCCCCGACTGTTGTGTCGCCTCTGCGTCTTGGCCACACCGCAAAGACTTCAGCCGACGGCCAAATACATCATAGACGTATTTTGCATATTAGAAACGGAGTTGGCGAAACTAAAACTGCAATATAATGTTTATGTAGCAATAATACAAATGACATATTTTGTACCGATAAAAAGACCGATAACGTCGGAGCTTAACGGTCTTTAATAATTCCGCCCCGGGGCCCGTTTAATACCGGGGCTCGGTACCCATCTCTAGACAAGACTATATGTTAAAAGACAGCATTTAAAAAAGGAAAGCCTGATCTAACCCGAGAATAATCCTCGTAATATTCCCACTTCTGTTTCGTGTGACTTATGGCTAAAATGACAGTCTGTTTAATTCTGACACTACTATTGTTACGTGTCCTCACTTTTTCTTTGTCAATTATCAGCCTGTGGTTCTTTTGAGTTTCCTTTTCATTAGAAGTGTCACAATGGAGTTTCTTTTATGATGAAATCAAGACCATCAAATAGAAAGTAAAAGCAGAAATGTGGTCAATTGTGACAACCCTACTTTATCCAGTAGACCCATAGTGTGTGTCTTTAGCGATCTATAAAGCTGTATTCACATGATACACAAAGTTTTGTTTTTCACGGTTACCTCCCCTGCTTTCTTGCGGTGCTACATACAGCTGTCCTCTGATTGGTTGCTCGTCAAAAGGTCAGCAATAAGCAAGGTTTCCAAAGTTGGGAAAATGTCAACTTTGAGAGCAATTTTTCACCTATTCGCTCGGCACTGCTCTCTCCGTTGAAACACGATTGCAACGTTGCGCAGATCCGTTTGACTGTGTATGATGTGAATGCAGCTTAAGACTCGTGACCAATTGATGAACTGCATACAAGAAAAACAACTTAAGAAACCACTCAGGTGATAT